TTGTTGACAACCATGGTCTGCAGAGAGACGAGCGAGCTGAAAGTCGCGGGAAGGCAGTTAAGCTCATTGTTTGACGCTGAGAGCCTGAGCAAGGAGGTCCAGTCCTGCATGCAGGGCAGTGCCTTCAGCTGATTGTTGTCGAGCGATAGAGACCGTAGCGACGTCAGCAAAGCCAAGTCCTCGGGCAGAGCCTTGAGCCGGTTGCTGCTCAAGTCCAGCACCGTCAAGGCTGTCAGGCCACAACAGCTCCCAGCGTCGAGGCTCTGAAGATCTGCGAGCAGACAGGAGGGTGAGACGAGCGCGAGGAAGGGGAGGAGGAGGAGGAGAACCATTGGCAGAGAGCCGGAGCTCTTGCAGGCAAGTGAAGTCCGTCAAAGCTCTCGGAACCTTCTCGATTCTATTTCCTTCGAGGGAGAGGAAGCGTAGGGGCACCTCTCTTCCTATCCGGCTGAAAGCATCGCAATCCTGACTGACGTCAAGCCCTTTGAAAGAAGAAGAATCGTATGACCAGATCACGTATGCTGTTGTATCCTAGCCAGAGCTCTGTGAGGGAGGTCAGAGAAGGGAGCTGGTGCGGTAGTTCAGCAAGATCGTTGCTTTCGAGGAAGAGCCGCTTGATGCTCGTGACTTTGAGCACAGCGGGAGGAAGAGCACTGACTGGACGTAAGGAGAAGCAGTGCGACTCATCGCATGTGGCTGACCTCAGGCGACTTCTGTTCCAGTTCTCAATGCACGGCCCCTGATAACACATTCTCCGCAAGACGTCCGGTCCACAATAGCGACCTTCCTCCATCTGAAGGCTACGGTGAGAGAGAGTTGGGAACGACAAGAAAAGAGAGGGGCTCAACCATTCTCCTCTTCTCTTCGCTTTCCCTCTCCTCTCTGTGACGATCAATCGAGACTTGTATCCATCGTCTACATTCTCGCAAGCTCTGAAGGCATCCACCATCATGACAGTGACGGTGTGCGGAGGAGTTATCCTGAGGGTTATGGGGGCACATGACATAGAGAAAGCCCTGCACACGACAGCTCTCACTCTCACAACAATTTGAAACAGTAAACCTCGAGTGAAGAGATTTGCATTCTTGACTTGCATAGATCGTTTTCGTCCTCTTTGAACATCACCTTCTCACATTATCTGTGAATCCTCCAAGATACTCATGGAAAATCTTTTGTGCACAGGTCTCACCATTGCACTTCTTGCTTCTGCCCCATTCGCTTCCCACAACTTAACTACCTCTGCAGTATCTGCATGCCTGATAACCGGCACGATTACTTCTGAGCAAGAGCAGAAGGTGATCTTTCTCACTCTGACGAACAAACAAGTATCTTGTTATCCTCCCAACTCATCTGTCAAGAATCTTGTAAGGATTCATGCAAGCGATAGCTTCCCCTCGTCACCTCCAGCAACACTCGAATGTATGTGCTGGATCCGGGTCGTTTCAACCAGGTCCAGCATCTGTATGTTTGTTTCCCTACCATCTTACAGCAGAATGTCAGACCATCACTCCACTAGTCTCTCTCCTTCGCGGCTCATCGCACCGAGTGGCTTCGAACCCCGGACATGGCGAGCCTTCGACTGCGCTCCTCCTTCGCTTCCTCCATGCCCGACCCCGTCCCTGGCAACTCTCAGAGTACCGGCTGGATTACCCTACATGACCAATCTGACAAATATACCCTAAATTTGTCAGAATTTCATTAGACTAGTCTGACAAATATACCCTAAATTTGGCTAAATAAATAATTAGTACCTGACAAATATACCCTAAATTTGTCAGAGGTAGCCAAGTGCGAAGCACGATGGCGAGCAAGCGTAGCTTGCCATATCCTTACTTATTCACATGATCATAGTAATGACTAAAACAAGATTCCTAACAAAGTTATTGTTAGTCTACACACTCAATATACATTGAAAACTACCAGGGTCACTCATTCAAGCACAGCTTGCCATGTCGAGTCCAATCACTATGATCATAATAGCATAAACTAATAAAAATATAATAGATCAATACATACTTAATCAGTTTCATTTTTTTGATTGATAGCAAGTCTACCAATATCTTCCACTAATTCATCAGATTCTTTCTTCTCATTTGAAGCTGCCCCCATCGCTTCTTTCTTGATTCGCCTACGTTCGCGCCTTCTTTCATTTAACCTATCTCTATTCTCTTCATAAAACTTCTTGTACTTTTCCCTCTCCACGACTGCATTCTTTAAATGATACTCTTTACAATACGCTTTGTGCGCTTCTTGCTTTTCTCCTGTCAAGGGCTTCCAATTCATCCTCTTCCTCTCATTAAATCTTTCCTTGTTCTCCTCACGATACTGCTTCAACTTCTCTTTGTTCTCCTCAGCATATTTCTTCTTATACTCCTTCAAATACTCAGCATTCTCCTCACTATATTCTTTCTTGCCACGTCCCGCTACCTTGCCATTCAAGGTTCCTATCTGCTTTATGATGTCACCTTCTTTCTTCCTCAATTCTGTTCTGTTACTACATGGAAACCGTTCATACAGTTCTATCTTCCACTTGTCCACACCATGCTGACGCATCGTCTTGTACAATAAGCAATTGTATGTCTTCGATTTCTCTAATAAACAATCTTTCTTGTGCTCCGACCATCGCTGCATCATCTGACGCGTTGTCGAACCTACATATACTAGGCTCTCATCATCAATACACTTTATTGTGTAAATTATGCTGTTATGATAGTCTGTCATATCCTCTCGCTGTCATGATCTTTTTCACGCATCATTCATTTTTAATTCATTGGAGGATACCAGTGTCACTCGTTCGAGGCATAGCCAAGTGCGAAGCACGCAGGCGAGCAAGCGCAGCTTGCCATATCCTACCCATTCTAGCATGGCAGTCACCTTCCTTATAAACAATATTTATCATATCATCTCCTGATCATAATCAAAAATAATGTATATTTCACATTCTACTCTATTTTCTCTTGGTACACGTTCGTATTCCTTACCGCTCTCATGCCATTGGAAGATGCCTGTATCACTCGTTCGGGCCATAGCCAAGTGCGAAGCACGCAGGCGAGCAAGCGCAGCTTGCCATGTCCTACCCTTCACATAGTCAACACCCAATAACTCTCTTCATCCTTGTTGACATTCCCTAGTCTATTCTGTCCTCCCCTTTCACTAAAACCACCTCCTCCCTCCTTCAAGCCTTTATATATATCATATCTTCTGCAATACCATCACCTCATCCTCTCAACTCTCACTCATTCGGCCATTTCATAAGCACCTTTCTTCCCTTCACAAAAAATGATTAGAAACTTATTCACTCCATTAACACTTAATCAAAACCTATCTATAATCTCATTATGGTCCAATACATCTTCCACATCTCCGATATCCACATCCGCAAGGGCGATATCCACTCCTCCAGATTCCTTGAATACAAACAGGTCTTCCAGAATCTTCATGACTCTATCCTTAAGGTCTTCCATGAACAACCACATATCACTCCTCACAACTCCCTCATTGTCATCACCGGTGATGTCTTCAATAACAAGGATGTTGTCTCTACCTACAGTCTTGATCTATATAGGACACTCCTTGATATTCTGCTCAAGATCACCTTCGTCATCGTCATCCCCGGCAATCACGACATCCTCCAGCAAGATCAACAGGCACCCTCACTCGTCTCATCCATCGCTTTCAGCTTGCCCAACCTACATATCCTCGATTCCACCACCACCCTCACAATCGATAATGTAGGCTTCACAACCGTTAGTGTTAGAGACACACTTGATTCTTCCTCTGGATCAGGGCGGAACAGCACGCTCCCTCCATTCCCTCTCGACTTCGATGGCAACCCTGAGTTCATTGTCCCTCTCTTCCACGGCACATTCGGTGGCACTAAACTCAATGAATCCAGGCTCTCCGATAACAACGACACCGTTCATACTTACCCCTTCGAATGGACTAAGGACTTCCAATTCCTCCTCCTTGGCGATATCCACCTCCGTCAAAATGGCACCAACAAATACGGCACACTCTGGGGTTACTCTGGCAGTCTTATCCAACAGAACATCGGCGAAGACATCATCGACCACGGCTTCTCACTTTGGGACCTCCGTGAACGCAAGATACACAACTTTAACGTTTACAACCCATTCGGCTTCATTGTCCTCTCATTCCTCGATGATGAATGGAACATCCGATACAAAAATAAATATATCCCACTCAATCTCCTCATCAACAACCAATTCTTCCCTAAACAGGTCTCCATCACCATCAGAGGCCAATGCGACACCGCAGCTAAACAACTCCTCTTTCAGATCTTGCATCAACACAACATCACCCATGACTTTCGAGATGAAACACTCCTACAAGAACTACAACCATCACCCTCTGAACCCAATGGGCCTGACTTCCTCACCTCACAAGTTAATCATGTCACTGACCTTAATGACCCTAAACTCCTTATCGACTTCTTCAAGACTCAGTCTCAAGAACTACAGCTCACAACCCCCCACATCGATAGATTGACCTTCTGGTTTAATGACCTTTCACGCTTCACATTATCCACCTCGTCTTTCCCTTCCATCGCACATACCGCCATCAATGACCTCAACTCTAAGATCACCTCCCTATATAACACCATCTTAACTGATACCTCCCCTGCCGCACATAACACATCCTTCAGCATTAAATACATCACATGGAATAACATCTCCTGCTACTCTGATCAACCCTCTTGGATTAACTTCGAACAACTCCACCGCAAACTCTACACCATCAACGCACCCAATGGATGTGGCAAGAGTTCCATCTTCAACGCTATCACCCTTGCCATTTGGGGCGATATCGCATCCAATCATTCCCTCACATCCCTCACCGCTAGCATCATCCGCGATAAACAACGCACCGCTACCACCACCATCGTCCTTCAACTCCACTCTGGCGAATTCCTCAAGATACATCGCAAGTTCCATCGCCGCACCCTTCAACCTAACACTACACAAAATGAATGCTCCCTCTCACTCTTCTCTTGCCTCGAATTTCAACGATTCCTTAATGAAACATCCTATAAACCTCTTCCAACTCAAACTCAACAAAAAAATCTGCTAATGACCTTATCATCTCCTACGTCGGAACACTCCACTCCTTCCTCCGCAACTCCATGATCACACAATCCAATGACTGTAGCTTCCTCGACATACACAATACTGAACTTATCAACACTATCGATCATGCAGCCGGTCTCGACAACCTCAACTCTCTCGAGAACATGTTGAAGGTTGCCCTCAAAAAATACACCGACCTCGCCCTCGTTCTTCAATCCAATATCAACTCATTCCTTCATGATATCCCCCCTCAACTCCTACAACCTGATTATGAATCCTCCGGTTCTTCTGAGCTTGTCGCTTCCAACTCTAATATGACAGCTCTCTCGGCTGAATTACAGCAGTTACAGAATCAATATGAATCTATCGATATCAATGTTCAACCCATCTTCTCACAAGGACCCTCTCACGTTGATGAATTCCTTGCTATTGATTGGCAACTGAAACTAGACGAATTCAATGCTGAGCACCCTCACCTCCTTCATGTAGATTACAACGAACTTACAAAACAAAAAAACAATATCCTCTCACAACTCCTTGGCAGTGATCCTAACCTACTATATAAAGAATATCAGAATAACCCTACGCTGCTTGAAACATATAACTCCTTCGTTCAACCACCCATCAAGCCCTGCGAATGGTCCTTCATCGAAGAAGAGGAAAAATCACTGCCATCCAGCATCCCTCAGCAACCCTCTCATCATCTTGAATCTCTACAGGCATCCCTCAACGATCTT